AGTGAAGTAGGTCCACATATTTCCTTCCCTCCCACTTAGAAACAGCAGTGAAGATGTGCAGAGGGAATGGAGCCACAGTGTGGCAGTGTGCAGCAGGTGGGGACATCAGCAGAGTTTTTGTTAACTTTCTGGAGACTAGAAAGTAATTGGGATTGAATAGCCAAATACACCACAGAGGGAGAAGCAGCATCTGAAGTCTGGGAGAATGCTGTAATGGAGAGAGGTTCCTGGGAAGGCGAGCCTTGTTCCTGGGAAGGGGAGCTTTGTTCCTGGGTACTCCGGAAGGACTGCCAAGTTGTGACTTAACAGAAAGGGAAAGTAGCAATAGAAAGTGGGTTGGCTAATAGGATGACTATTTTCAGGGCAATGAGTGGAGCAGCTGAGCAGGTCGCCCATCCTTACTCCCACCACTTCCCTGCCACATGTGCAGAGCCGCTGGCCATGTACTGGTCACCTTCAGAGAGGAGTCTGCTCTTTAGGGGAATTGAACATCAGCCTCAGATGGTCTAGGGCTGTGGTCGGCAAACTGCGGCTCACGAGCCACATGCGGCTCTTTGGCCCCTTAAGTGTGGTTCTTCCACAAAATACCACGTGTGGGCGCGCACATACAGTGCGATTGAAACTTCGTGGCCCATGCACAGAAGTCGGTATTTTGTGGAAGAGCCACACTCAAGGGGCCAAAGAGCCGCATGTGGCTCGCAAGCCGCAGTTTGCCGACCACTGGTCTAGGGGTCCTTGAGTAATGGTTGGCCCTCCAGAGAGAGGTTTTGGCCCTGAGCAGGGAGCATGCAGGGGTGTGGGGAGCATCCTGTCAGTCTGACTTCTACTTCTGTGACCTAAAGTGAACAGTGTAAGCCCATATGCTCTACCTATCAATACATACTCTTATACATAAATGGATGAGCAAGGATGGCCAGAGTTCTTCAAAATTAGATATTTCAATAGAAGGGTTGAAGTACAAAGTTGAGGAAACTTTCAAGAAAGTAGAGCAGAAAAAGAAAGGTGGAAAATATTAGGGGAAAGTTAAAAGACATGCAGGATCAATTCAGAAAGCGTAGCATCTATCTTGCAGTAATTCCTAAAAGAACAGAGAACACGAGGGAGAGAAATTATCAAAGGAAAGATAAGAGTTTTCAAATTGGAAAAAGCCACTGAGGATTGAGCATACAGAATTTTTAAATATACTTTGTGATAAAATATAGAACATGAAATATAAAGGAAAGGTTCTCAATGCTTCCAGGGAGTAAAGATATGGTACCATTCAAGAATAATAATTAAGATGGCTTTGGCCTTCTTGTCACTAATTTTGGATGCCAGAAACGTAACCTAGTGGAACTGTACCTTTATAGTACCAAATGACTTTTCATCTAGAATTACTACCCAAGCTATTCGCCAAGCATCAGGGCAAATAGAGTTTTTCAGAACCACACTACTCAAGTCTTCAGTTAATAATATTTATACGGTTGCCCCTTGGTATCCTTGGAGGACTGGTTCCAGGATCCCCTTCTGATACCCAAAATCCACTGATACTCATGTCCCTTATATAAAATGGAATAGTCTTTGCTTATAACCTGCATACATCATTCCACATACTTTAAATCATCTCTAGATTATTTATAATACCTAATACAATGTACATGTTATGGAAATAGTTGTTGTACTGTATTATTTAGGGAATAATGACAAGAAGAAAAGTCTGTATATATTTAGTATAGGCATAGCCATGGTAGGCCTAACCACACGCCACATGTCATCAATGACTTACCATTTTTTCTGAATATTTTTTATTTGCAGCTGGTTCAATCTAAGGATGTGGTATCCATGAACACAGAGGGCCAACTGTACAATTATAATATTACAAAAACAGACAATTTATTTCTAATTATCAGAATTAATTTGTTCTATAGACAAAACAAAGACTTAAATGTGTATCCATTGTCTTTTCTGTTCTTGATGCTATAATAAAATACCACAGACTCAGTAGCTTATAAACCACAGAAATTTATTATTCGCATTTCTGGAGGCTGGAAGTTCAAAATTAGAGGCTCATAAGGCCTTCTTCTGGGTTGCAGACCGCTGACTTTCTTACATGTTGAAAGGGGCAAGCAAGCTCTCTGGGGCCTCTTTCATAAGAACACTAATCCCACCCTCATAACCTATGCAACTCTTAAAGGCGCCACCTCCCATGAAATGGGGGACACAAACATTCAGTCCATAGCACTGAAAGATCACTTGTCTGTGCACTCCAATAGATGAAAGTGAAATCCAAGAAAGAGGAAGTCATGGGGTCAAAAAATATTAGAAATAAGGGTATAATTAAAATTTAGAAATCATGGCAGCATCTGTGGTACATACCTAGAAGACAATGAGGCAACATTAAGCCATTCAAAAATAGTATGTTTAAGAAACTAGATGATCTTAATTATATAGTAACTAGGGGCTGAGTGCACGAATTCGTGTACCTTGAAAGGAATTGTGGGCCACAAGGCTGTGGTGGGCACAGGGCAGGTCTTGGTCCATCCTCTGCTCCCCCACCTGGCCCCTGCCACCACGGTCCCTGGTCCCTTGTCTGCCCACAGCCCCCCTTCCCAGCTGCTGCTCCCACACACTGACGGTGCTGGCCCGGCTCGCACCCACTGACAGTGTGGAGTGATTGGGGCCAGTGCCAGCAGCAGGTGCAAGCGCCTGGTGGGACTGTGGTGCACAGGAGCAAATAATTTTCAGTAACCACCAGAGGCTTGCCCCAGTGACAGTGACCAGCGCCCTGCCTTGGTCTGGCACCCCCTCTCACCTGCTCCACCATCCCGCTACATCCGATGCCTACCATGTTCTGCGTGCGCCCCCTGGTAGTCAGCGCACATCATAGAGACCGATTGTTCGGTTGTTCTGCCCTTCGGACTATTTGCATATTAGGGCTTTATATATATAGACTAGTGACCCAGCGCATGGATTCATGCACATTGAAAGGAAATTGGGAGCCCACACCCATGTGCCCGGGGAATTTCCATATCCCCGTGAGCTGCCAAGAAGTCTCGTGGGGAGTCTGTCCTCCCTGCAGCTTCCTGAAGAAATATTTCCAAATGTTCCTTCTATGGCTAGGTCTTGCCTTGCTGGCCAGGAGGTCCCCAGTGGACACCTTGGGCCATGCTGGACATTTTCCACTGCTCAGAGCCAGATAAGAAATGCTCTGAGGTGAACAATACAAAGCTGGGGATCTCGGGGGTCAGGGGTGCTCTGTTGCCCATGCCCCCACCCTTCAGATCCATCTCTCTTTGACTTTTACCCCAATTGTCAGTTGCCACCTTGTGGCCACTGTTATATTGCTGCCTTCCTCTGTAGCTCTGAGGCAATCAGTAAGGGGTGAGATTTGATCTCGATGCCCGAGGCAGAGTTCCAGGAGCCTGTTGGCGATATCAGGCTCCTCCTGGTTACTCCGAGTGTCCTTGCTTCAACCATTCTCAGGAGATTGTAACTGCAGGCTTACGGGGTACAAGGGATGTAGCAGTGCATTAAGTGGCAGGCAGCTGGGAAGGAGCCCAAGCCTGGGCCGGGCACTGCGCTGCTTCCACTCACCCCAGCCCTGCTGCGCCTTCCATCACCGCTGCCAGAGAGGCTCCCGCCACCGCAGCTGCACTCACCAGCCATGAGCCTGGCTTCTGGCTAAGTGGCACTCCCCCCATGGGAGCGCACTGACCACCAGGGGGCATGTCCTGCATTGAGCATCTGCCCCCTGGTGGTCAGTGCACGTCATAGCTACTGGTCGACTGGTCGTTCCAGTCATTTGGTTGTAATGGTTGCTTAGGCGTTTATATATATAGATGAAGATATATGTTTTCTATTGTCAATTAGTTTTAAAAAGAAAAGCAAGTAGAAACCCCAGAAGAAAACAAAAATCAGAGGTAAAATCCTAATTTCAAATTAAAAGCAACCTACTAGTAAATTAAGGCATAGTTGTGAGAAACTGATTAGGGTAAGGAAAGATGTTTTTGTTTGATTTTGAAATTCTCTTTTAAGTGGATTATTTTCTTCCTCGAAGCTTTAGTAAATAAAATTTATATATTTGTAGAATTATAAAAACTGAGTATTGGTTTTCAAGTTTTATAATACATTTTTAGAAAGTGTAAACAGCTTAATTTCAGTATCAGAATAGAATACCACTATTACAAATCCAATAAATATAAAAAGGAATGGGGCAATTATGTCAAAGATAGGGTGTGAAGGAAGTAGGGGTAAAGGGGAGGGAAGAGTAGGGAGACAGTTTCCTCATTTACATAGTGAAGAGTCAAGTGGAACACTTTCTAAAATAATGAAGGTTAGTTGAGTGCTGGAAATATCAAGAGAAACATTATGTAAGTATATGATTGCTAATCACTAAGCTGTACACCTGTAACCAATTCTATATAATAAAAGCCTTATATGCAAATCAACCGAATGGCAGAATGAGCAGTGGAATGACTGGTCGCTATGATGCACACTGACCACCAGGGAGAAAACACTCAATACAGGAGCTGCCCCACGCCCGCAGGCCCAGGCCAGCCAAGGCAGGTGCCAGCAGGGTCCCCGATAGCCCTGCCAGTCACCCCACAGAGGGAGGCGACCAGCACTGGTAGCAGGGGGTGGGGCCTGTAAGTGGGCAGCGCCAGGCTGGCCAAGGCGGGTGCCAGTGGGGGCCCTCCCGATCGCCCAACAGATCACCCCACAGATGGGCCCTGATCGCCGGCCAGGCCTAGGGACCCTACCTGTGCACAAATTCAGGCCTCTAGTACAAAATAATATTGAAAGGAAACTATAATTGAAAACTAAAAAATCCTATCTAATAAAAGATAAAAAGGGTAATTAACCATACCTCCGCTACGCTTCCCATTGGCTAATCAGGGCAATATGCAAATTAACTGCCAAGGAAGATGGCAGTTAACGGCCAACAAAGATGGTGGTTAATTTACATAGGTAGGCACAATGATGGGAGGCGAAAGGGGAAGGACAGAAGAAGCCTTCTGCAGGGAGATCGAGCAGGTGAAGGAGCGGGTCCTGAACAGGCTCCATCAGGTACAGAGGATAACACGGAGACTCCAGCAGGAGCGGGGGTTCCTCATGAGGGTGCTGGACTCCTACGGCGATGACTACCAGGCCAGCCAGTTCACCATCTTACTGGAGGATGAGGGCAGCCAGGGCACAGACGCCCCCACCCCAGGCAACGCTGAGAACGAGCCTTCGGAGAAAGAGGGGCTGTCCCTGCCCAGGAGGACGCCAGCGCCTATAGAAGCCAGCAGCCTGGCCCCTGGCGAGGGGCCCAGCGGGCGGAAGAGGCGGCGAGTGCCACGGGAAGGGCGCCGGGTGGGAGTCCCGCTGACTCCGGAGCTGGCCCCCGTGCAGATAAAGGTGGAGGAAGACTTTGGCTTCAAAGCGGTCGAGGCTCTGGACTCAAGTTGGGTTTCTCGGGGGCCAGACCAGCTGCTGCCCTACCCCACCCTAGCCAGCCCCCACTTTGACTGACCCCCCAATAAATGGACGCCATGCTCTCCTCGGCAAAAAAAAAAAAAAAGCTTATAGAGGCATGCTTATAGGATCAGAGAGTATAAATATAGATGTAATAGGACAATAAAAAGAGAACCTGGCTATGATGATCACCTGAACGCTGCCTCTGTGTCATTCCTTCTTCGCCGACTCCGTCCACACCTTTGGGAACCCCTGGACCTGCTGGGGCTGGACCCCAACATTCCTCTTCTTATAAGGACTTCAGTGAGATGGGCTAAGGGTCCCACTGGAACTGCCTCAATTTAATGTAATCCCCTCTTTAAAGATCTTCTCTCCATATACAGGTACATTCTGAGGTTCTGGGGATTAGGATTTTAACATACATTTTGTTGATTACCCAAATCAGCTCTTAACAACCAGCATGTTTCAGAAAGTAGATTCCTACAGGGTTATTTACCAAACATTCAGAAGTATTTTTAAAAGAGCTAAGCCCCTCGCCCACCGCGCGGGCCCCTCCTGGCGAAGAGCAAAGGCCTGGGTTCCAGGTGCCGGAAGAAAACTGGTGCCAGCAGCCAGAGGAAGGGGCCCCCAAGTGGGGGCCCCAGATTGTGAGAGGGCACAGGCAGGGCTGAGGGACCCACCTGAGTGCACAAATTTTTGTGCACCGAGCCTCTAGTAATAATAATAAAGAAAAATAAAATTATGAAGGTGAGAAGAAACAGAGATAGTGAGAGGATATTTTAGCACAAATCCTTGTGTGCATAAGTCAATAAGTACTGAAGAAAGTTGATAAATCAAGAAATTGAGGTATAAACACATTGTTTAGTATTTTATGGCAACCACCAGAAGAACCGAAATCATAATTGGCTAAAGTTGGTTATAGGGAGTTGAACAAGACAAGGATGGGGAGAAGGAGATTTTAATTGTGTTATGTACCATTTGAATGCAATTTTCATCACATGTATTAATCTAAAAGTAAAAGTGGAAGTAATAATACTCTTACCTAGTATTGGCACTGGTGAAGAAAACAGACCCTCTTATACTCTGATTGCCTGAGTGAAAATTGAATTGGTCCAAATTTTTGAAAGGGCAATTTTGTAGTATTAAAAAGAATTAGGCTCTCACTCTAATAATAATAATATAGTTTCAGTTTTCAAACCACAAGGACCTTGTTGAGCAGCAGCTGGCAAACCAACCAAGAGGAAGCAGAGGGGTACACAAAGGTTTTCCTTCATGTGTGAACATAAACACACACATGCTCACGCCCTGCTGCGTGTCTCAAATATTGACTCACTGAAGTGGAAACATCGGCTGCCCAGGTTCTTAGAGTTCTCCCATCTCCAACTTTAATCGCTTGTAGTGATCCTCACATGGAAGGCTGTCTCTGGTGGTTTCTCCATCCTCACATGACTCATTTTGGTTCACTTGTGTGGAGGCGACTAACTTGGGAGCTGGGACTTTTTGCTCCTAAGAGAGTCCAGGGCTAACCACAATGTTCCAAAGCCTGTGGGTACTGGCCAACCACTTGGAAGCCCTGCCCTTGAGTCTCAGTCCTCTCTTTGTGGTTACTCAGAGAGGCCTGTTTCCAAATGTGGCCAGTCTATTAGAGGCGGGCCCCGTGGCCTGACATGCACGCTCTTCCTGTGTCATCGCTGATGTTATGGGAAAGAGAACACCATCGCCGTTGGAAAGCTTCAGCAACTACTGTCCAACTTGACTTGAGAAGCGAGGCCACGTTCTTCCCATGATCAGTGATGAGACTTTTGGGAAATACTTATGGTCACACTACATTTTTGTAGAACATAACAGTTAACACATAATTACTCACAACAGCCCATAATCTCTACTTTAGATAAGAAAAATGATGCTCAGTGATGATAAGGCAATTGTCCATGATCCTTCTGCTGGAAAGAAGTATGGATTAAGATTCAGATCTTCTGATTGCTAACTTTGTGTTTTTTCACACTACACAAAGATATTCTTTAAGACTTCTTAGTAAGATAACTTTTTAAAATATTTTTTATTTATTTCAGAGTGGAAGAAAAAAGAAGAGAGAGGTAGAAATATCAATGATGAGAGAGAATCACTAATTGGCCACCCCCTGCATGCCCCACACTGGGCATCAAGCCCATAACCAGAGCATGTGGCCTGACCGGGAATGGAACCATGACCTCCTGGTTCATAGGTCAACACTCAATCACTGAGTCATGATGGCCAGACTGAGATAACTTTTAAAATATATATATATATTTTTATTGATTTTAGAGAGAGAGAGAAAAGGAGAGGGAGAGAAAGATAGAAGCATCAATAAGAAACATCAACATCCATTGGCTGCCTCCTGTACGCCCCCTGCTGGAGATTGAGCCCACAACCCAGGCGTGTGCCCTATCAGGAATTGAACCAGCTATCTCTTAGTGCATGGGCCAATGCTCAACACTGAGCCACACCAGCTGGGCATGAGATAGCTTTTTACTTTGCTTCAGATTTGTAGAAATTACTGTTCCAGATGGTGATATCCAGCATCTTACTTTGTTGGGCTTTGGACTCAATCCTAAATTTTCTACTTAAAAACTGTGTGTCCGTGGTCAAGTTCACACAACATCTCTGAGTCTCCATAGCCTCATCTGTAAGATGGAAATAGTAATACTTATCTCCATTCAGAGCTCACCAGGATTAGTATGAGGTTAAAATGACATCATGTCACCAAGCACTAAGTAAGACCTCAAAGTGGTGGTCAGGCTGTCAATGTGAAGGTGATTACTTTGAAATACATTAACACATTAAACAGCCTTCCCAAATTTCCTCTTCAGATATGTTCCTAATTACCCACTCTCCTGTCTTCTAAAATATCGACCCATCTTTACCACATTAACTTAAAAAGATATTCAACTTTGTAAGGACAGGAATTTTGAGTTCGTAAACTCTCTTGCCAAAAGCAACGATAGTATTGTTATATGGAGATACTGAGCATCCAATGTGGGCCCATGCAATCAGATGACAGCGAGTCCCATTCTTTCTTGACCACAAGACTGTGGTTTCTCGAGGGATGGAAGCTGTGTGCATGGTACATGGGCTTGTTTTCAATTGATGAGACAGCATCCTTTCTATCCAGAAGGAGGCATTTGTTAAGTGTCAGTATTGCAGGTGTTTAGAGGAGTGAAAAGCATGTGCTCTTGGTAAATTCATGCTTTCCAACTTCATAGGCAAACACATGAAGACTATTATACAGCGTTTGCACATTGTAGAAACGAATGCAAGACCAACCCATAGGCTTCTGTGCTCTTCAAAGGAGGATGGACAGGAGAGGGGGAGTAAAGTAGGCATCTTGTCTACAATGAAAAGACTGTGACACTGGCTCTAGCCATCAAGGGATAGAAAAGTTAAATCATTTTAAGTGAATTGGGGTATGTCCATGAAGACGCCAAATGCATAAGAAGGGAAGGGAATGAGGAGGAAAGGTACATGTATAAGAAGCAAGATAGGTGTAGTTCCCTTACGGGAGACTTGTTCTTTGTGATAATATAAAGCGACAACACCCGAATGTACATAGAGGAACCTAGGATCTCACTAGCACAGTGAGGCTCATGGAAAGGCCTTGATTATGTGTCTATTTGGGGAACTCTGAGAAGGCAGGCCATCATGGACCCTCAGAGTAAAAACCTACTTGCTCCTTAGAGGAAAAGGTGTTGAAATTGGAGGACCGATTGTCAAAGTCTTGATGTAAAAGATAGGCATTAGGTTGTACCAACCCTTGAAAGGGTTAAAGAGAATAAAACGTGGCAGAGAAAAACTCATTGTGCTTAGCAGATATCTTGCAGAAAGCTTGCAGCCTTGAGCATGGCACAGCTCAGATAACTAGCAGACACTGGCATGGGAGGAACCAAGAACGGAGTGGACCCTTACATCAGCAGAATGGCTTGCAGCCAGCAAAAGTTAGTAAAAACTGTTTCTCCCTTCTGTCTTTGCTGACTCCATTTTGTCAAACTCAGCCCACCTGCACCTAGGTGCCTGGAATAAAAATCTTTTTTTGATACATTATGGCCTCATGTCATAGGTATGCAACCCCAGTCCACTCTGAACCTTTCAACCCTGAGTATGAAAGAAAAATTACGGAAAAAGAGAGGATTTCTCTGATAAGCTATGAAATCCTGACCAATTGTGTTGAAAGACATGATTTGTCTTCAAACACAAATCAAGACTCAGAGTGGGCATATTTTGCAGCACTAAAGAGACCTGAGTTCACACATATAAAATATTGAGAAAGTGAATAGAAGATGCAAGAGAAAAAAAGTATAAGTCAAAACTTCAGAACAGTGATGCTCAACAGGGAAGGGAAGGGGATGACTTTGTCCCCTATCCCTTTCTGGGGACATTTGACAATGTCTGGAGGCAGTTTTTGATTGTTACAACTACAGGGGAGAGATGCTGGCATCTAGTGGGTAAAAAGGGACAGAGATGCTGCTAAACATCTGACAACACACAGGACAACCTCCCCCTGACCCCAATGAAGAACTATTTAGCCCAAAATGTCAATAGTGGAGGTTGAGAAACCATTGTTTAGATCTATCATCTTTTATACCAGATATATTAACTATTAAATAATAGTTAACCCCTGCTTCAGTGACCAAGCCTGCTGGGCCCTCATCCTTCAGTGATGCTTGGTCACTGAAGCAGGGGTAACTACTGTAATTGACTGACAAAACACCACAGGTGAGAACAGAGGCATATGCTAGAAATAGAATAAGTTATATGATTTATAAACTCATTGCAAATCTTAGCTTTTCCCCACAAATCTCTTACCTTAAACTTTTCAAATATGAAAAATAAGAATTGAATAGAACCATATTTTTGCTATACAAATTTTTATAATGACATTATTACTACTCTTATAGGCGTTATTATTCTTTGCAAGTCACACGAATTGCCTTATTTAATGTTTACAATTTGATATAATTATCTCAATTTCATAGACCTTGAGAGGTTAAATTTTACTAGTTTTTGGACATCTGCTGTGTGTCGGATGCTGTGTTAGGCACTGAGGTAG